GCTACCGCCTAATTTATATTTAGGGAGTACATGGGTCTGCATGTTTGGGGTGTCATTGATGAAGGGTAACCATTGTGAATACAGTGATCTTTTCCATTAGGGTCTTTCTCTTTACTGGCTAAGAACAAATCACATTTTTAAGAGTATAATACAAGGAAAATTTTATGATTTTTCAAATCAGTATGTGTGTGTGTGTGTGTGTGTGTTTACTTGCTCTATGGCAAACATCTGGAATGCTTGTTCCCAGGCCTCTCTCTGGAAGCTTTTTTTCAATAGGTCTGTGACAGAGCTCAGGAAATCACAAATGCTCCCATGTAAATGAGGTAAACGTTGCTCTCAGTCAAAATAACAATTGTTATTCTTTGAGTTAATTAAGAAGGTTTAATTGAACAAACTCTCAGGACTGTGGTTAATGCAGATATATCTGTTGACATCTCAATCAAGTTCTTTTATGTTTAAAAAATTTATACACTTACATGAATGTTACTGGGGTTACTAGAAGACCCAAAGATCATCACAGGATTTTCGTTTAATATTTCTGTGAATGTCTTTAAAAGATCATGTGTTATGAGGGCCATGATAACTTTTAGGCTGTTTCTGTGAAACTGGAATCAGACTGGTGCGGTCCTATGTTAGGTGCCCAGGGATCAATTGCAAACAGGTCTTCTTTGTAGCTAAGTCAAGAGATCAATTTCTGGGGAATAAGATCAACTTCCCTAGCAAGACAGGAGACATGCAACCAGAGAATGCAGGTATGTTAAGTGGATCAAGAAGAGATGGAGGTAACGTACCTGGCAAGGTGAGATAGGCAGAGAGAAGATCAAACCCAGTAACTGGATCAGGAAGACAACACTGGAGTCTGGGTCCTGAGCTGAGACCGGAGGAGTCAGGGTGAGGTTGGATGAAATATACAGACACCAATGGCAGTTGCTGTTTTATGTTCTTTCATGGTGTGGTCAGTGGCTGATTCACATTAGGTAAATGTGGATAGAAGGGGAGGTTCTAATATGTACAGAAGCTGAAATAACAATGTGAGAATGGGGAGAGGCATGGAAGAGTGAATTAGGGAAGGAGCCTATTGCTTACTAAGATGACACACATTTTTCTGATTTAAAATGCAAAGTACTTATTTTTTCCTTCATAGTTTCAAAAGGATACTAGAATTAACTCTGAAGGGAATTAGTTTCTCTTCCCCAGTTATCTAATGAGAACAAAATTAACCAGGGATAACAATTTACCTGGATAGTCACTTAGATCACATCTGGTTTTATGACTTTTCTCCTGCAAGAAGCCATTTTCTTAACACATTTCTCTCTTTCTCCTCCGTGTCTATGTTTATAGCAAGTTTAGATCACATAATGTTCATCAGAAGAACTTGGCAATGATTAACTTAAAGACATTTTGTCTTTGCAAGGACCAGAGCCTCTTACAATCTGGGAAGGATCAACTACAATGGGACTCCATTTATAAACAAGGGAGATTAACCATTCTCATATTACAAATACAAAATCAAAAATCCTAAGCACTGAGAAAACACATGTACAATATCACAGCCTTTGTAATACTTTTAAACTCTTCCCAAGTCAATACCTTTAATCTCAAACGATTTTCATCCCTCTCTGCATTTGTTCAAGTTGGAAATGACACTTCGTATTTACAGTGTTTTAGAGAGTCAAAACACCTAGCAAACTTTCACAGATCTGGATGCATTGCTTACAACTCTGTAATGCTATGATTCATCATGATTAGGTGCAGCTGCAAAAGGAGTAAAAGCATATTTCTTCTGCCTGTTAACTGGTGCCTAGAATAATGAGCCTGTTATAGTGACAGTATTAACAAAAGCTAGCAATGTTCTTTATGTCAGGCACTGTTCTAAGCTTGTTCTAAGAATTCCCCTTTCTTTTCTTCCCAATAACTCTGTGAGGTAAATAGTACAATTATTCCCATTTTCAAGTGAAGTGGATGAGGTTCAGGAATGGCCAACTGTAATTTGTATGTATCTAGAAACTCCAAGGGTCAGGATTTAAATGCAGGCTATTGTGTGACAGCATCCCCATTCTTCCATATACTTTCTATGATCTCTCATGGCATAGAATGCTGTGTGGGAAGGAATAGCCATCTGACCCATACTTAGGCACCCCTAAACTAGCACCAGACAAATATGCTGAGGTGGTGACATAGGAAATCACACAGTTCCTACTTTGGGGAACTGTTTTCTTTGATCCAGAAACTGCTTCTCTTCTCTGAATGACATTCACACATTCAACTCCATAAGGTGAGCAATAGATTTTTCAATATCCTGTTTGGTTTTCCAATGTCTGTTTTAGGAAGGGTTCTTCTGGAGGTGGGGAATCATTCGTGCATGTGTGGAAGCTGATGAAAATCGGTGGCCTCTCAGTCCAGAAGCCATGGGTGCAGGGTAGTAGAGAGCTGTAGACATTATACAATACCAAGCCAGCATACCTTGGTATGAAGAGTCAGAAAAGCTGGAACTGGCATTGTGGCGCTGTAGGTAAAGCTGCTGCCTGCAATACCAGCATCCGATTTGGGCACTGGTTCATCCTCAGGCTGCTTCGCTTCCCGTCCAGCTCCCTGATAATTGTCTGGGAAAAGCAGCAGAAAATGGCCCAAGTGCCTGGGCTCCTGCCACCCACGTGGGAGACCTGGATGAAGCTCCTAGCTCCTGACTTTGACCTGGCCCAGAATTGGTGATTGTGACCATTTGGGGAGTGAGCCAGTAGATGGAAAGTCCCTCTCTTTCTCTGTAACTCTGACTTTAACAATAAATAAATCAATCATTTTTGAGAAAGAGTCAGGTATGCTGAGCTTAATTTCTTCAGTTTTAGTGATAATCATCACAGTGATAACTATAAACATAAATACTTAGCATATCTTTTTTTTTCACTTAATGGATTTTATGTGCATTGTTTTTTTCCCTTCACTACCAATTTCTTCCTTTAATGGGAAAAACAGTGTTCAGTTCTTCCCTCAACCATTCTCCACATAGATGTAATTTATGCTTGTTTTGGGTTGAATAAATCATTCTATAATGAATAGAGGGTCGTTGAGAAGGATCCTCGATATGTGACTATTATTAGTTACTATCACAGTAATTATATTATTATGCTAGTGTCTCTGTTTCAAAGAGGAGGGTACCAATGCCCTGAGATATACCCCACTAGAAGTCATCAGAAAGGAATGATTTTTATCATATCTTTAAGTGAACTGACTTCTCATTCCAGTGTTTCCATGACTTTTTGTTCTAACTTGCTTTTCTTAGCATTTGATCCTATAATGATATTTAACTCCTTTGTCTGGTAGAAGAGTATTCTGTTGTAGACTTTTTTATGTACTTGGATGCCATCATGGCCACATTCTTTTACCCTTCTCTTTCCAGTGATGCTTGAATTTTTTATTATTTTTCTCCTGATTTTAGTAGAGTACATAGAATATATTTAAAAATATATTTATTGAGTACTAAGTATACATAATAGAGCTCTGTAAACCCAGGATTTTTTAATTGATCCATGAAAACTAAATATGAGCATCTGTATTTCTAGTAATATCTATTGACACAAGTTACATGACAGAAGTCCCTCCTCAAAAATTTGAAGACACAGTTAACAAAGCAATTCTAAATTAATAGTATATATTCAATAAATGTTAACTAAATTGATAATGATTTTGGGATACATATCACATTATGGAATTACAAGTGTTTTTCAACATTAGTCAATGTGAACAGAAGTGGATGAGTTTGACATTACAGGAGAAAAATGAATAGATTTGTAACTGGTAGCTTTATTATTGTTATCATTACTACTGATTATTATTCTCAAGTGTGGGTGAAATATGCAATGGATAAATTAGCTATTTAAGGAGTCTTATTGTTGTTGTACCTGTTCTCAAGATGTTACAGCATAAGGATAAAGCCACAATCTCATGCTTTTTATAATTGAAAAAAAAAAGAGATAAACCAACCAAAATAAGAAAAAAAGCAATGGAGAGGTCTCTTCATGGATCTCTTTGTGGATTATTTTCTTTGTAATGTCCTGAGACTCATGTTTTGTAATTAGAAAGAACAATATTAGGCCTATTCCATTTACAATGTTGGAACAGGTTTAAGATCCCAGGAAAACAAAAATGGAGAATATGAGTTTGGTCAAGGGCCTGAGGCTGCAGTCTTCAGCAGTATTGGGCCCTCCAGTGGTGGGAGGTGTGGGCTGATATGACATCTGATAAGACAGAAAAGTAATTAACCAATAAAGGTGTTACAGGAAAAATGAAGTTCCCGCACCTGATTACTAATTAATCAGGCGTGAGAGCACCTTGTAGATGCATTCGCTACTTAATTATAGCAGCTTCTCTTGGCAAAGGAGCATATGTTCCCAGCTTAATCTACTGGTTTATACTGACATCAAATTGTCATTATCAGAAAGAATCAGGCCTTTTGATTATTTCCACTAATTTATTGAACACTTAAAATTAATGAACCCCAGGCCTTTTAAATGTGCTCAGTTGGTTTGGAAGATGGGAGGAGAAAGGGGGGTAGAGAGAAGCCTTCATTAAAAGGACAATTTGGATAAAGGTAAAGAAAATACATTTCATGGGTGATGTGAACTCTATTGGTGGAAAAAACATGAATTCTAAGAGCTGAGCCTACAAAATGATGGGGAGGAAATAGGATATAAGGTACACCCTGCTGGACACCGTTGGCCTCTGAAGAACATATGGCTAAAGTTTTTTTTTTCTTCTAATTATTTATGTATCAATTCTCTTGGAGACCTCATTGCAATTAAGTTTAATTGAATAAAAGCAGTCAAAATCAAATGTTGGGAATCAATTGTCATATTAACTAACAAGGACTTTATGTTTTTATTTTGAAAATATAGTTAGCTTGGGCAGAATTTAATATAACGTCATCTCTGTCATAGGTAAATATCATTAGTATTCAGTTGATTTTTTTACATCACTCCTAACTTGTGGTTGTTTGTATTCAGTTTCAGGTAAAGGCCAAATTCAAGTAATTCTACAAGTGAGGGAAGGCATGCCTCCAACCATTGCAGGTGAGTATTAATGCAATAAATAGAAGTGCTGGTACAGCAGAATGTACTCCAGTAGTTCCAGGAATTCCTCCTCCTGATTTTGTTTATAAATAATCAGGTATCCTCCCAAAAGCTTTCATGCCTAACAACTCCTTATTGTGTCACTCCTGGAACTAAAATATGTGTCTGCACGTCAAAGAAAGATATAAGGGTCCATTTATTTTTCAAAACAATGGAAAGTAAGAATTGAAACATGTAAATAAGCACATTTCATAAATTATGGACCATATGTGCACACAGGACTCCAGATCTACAGATGGGCTATTAGGCCCCCTCCACATGGAAAGAAAAATTCAGTGTACCTCTAAACTTTAATTGTTCCTGGTAATTTCAAGAAATCAGGATAAACAAACCCTCTCTCCAAAGTCAGATGGTTGTATGAAATCTTTTTGACTCAAAAAAGCCAAATTCTCAAAGACTAAACATGAGCATCTTGTAATGTATTTCAGCGTTCACTTTTGTTTATCTTGAGTCAATTTTTGCATTTACAGGAGAGATAAATATTTTCAAAGAAAAAGTCTTTCTTCATTTTCAGTAATATTTTTGTGTTATGTCAGAGTAGAGCCTGTGCTAATCAGAAAATGATTGAATTCCTCCATTTAAATTAATAAATGAAGCAAAGTCACTATACTATAGCTGTAAACTAGATGTACTTACTGTACCACCCCTGCTTATTGGACTGTGAAGAGTCTGATTCAAGGTTACTTTCACCACAGCTTTTGAGCTTTGTTTTCATTTTATTGTTTATGTCCCCAGTCCCTAATCCCTCCTTTTCTTTAAGAGTCTTAAAATCTCCTGTTCATTGAGTGTCTCTCATGCAAGTTATAAGGAGGATATAAAAATGAGCATGATAGAATAGTCCTTGACTTCATGGGAATACTGTGGTCTGTTGGGGATGTCAATAAATCACTAATCAAATAATCAATAACATTACCAAAGAATAGTATTCCATCTTTCTCTCTTTTCTGAAATTCCTGTGTTCAGATCACCCTAGAGAAGATTTGATAGGCTGGGTCAGTCCCAGTTTTGTAAAGGACATACCATGCTACCATGCCAGATGCCTCTGTGGATTCTTGGCCATGTATATTAGTGGCCCCTTCAGGTTCAACCAGCTTTGGTTGTCAGGGTGGCATGTCAGCATTTAGCATGAAGATTTTTGTGTTAAATACTCTTGGAAAGGATAACGTGACTGACCAGCATCTAGGGCTTTCCAGAAGGGGTTAGTTTATTTGGGAGATGCTTCACTTAGCCTGTTAATTAAAGCATGTAAGTAAACATGGGAAGTGAGATACACAGCAGACCCATAGAATGGCAAATGTCCTAACAGCACTCTGGCCTCATAATCAGCCCTTAAGGCATGTGGATCCGGCTGAAATGCCCATGAGAGTATTTCAGGCATGGAAAGCCAAGACACTCTTGAGGGGGGAACCTAAATGAAAGATCTCCATGAGTGAGATCCCAGTAGAAAGAATGGGCCATCAAAGAAGGAGGTACCTTTCTCTGAAGGGAGGAGAGAACTTCCACTTTGACCATGGCCTTGTCTAAATATGATCAGAGTCAGTGAACTCAGGGGGCTTCCATAGCCTTGGCAGCTCATGACAAGAGCCTAGGGTGATTACTGATGCCATAAACAAGAGTGTCAATTTGTTAAGTCAACAAGAGGAGTCACTGTGCACTTACTCCTCATGTAGGATCTTTGTCCTTAGTGTGCTGTACATTGAGAATTAATGCTATAACTAGTACTCAAACAGTATTTTTCACTTTATGTTTCTGTGTGGGAGCAAACTGTTGAAATCTTTACTTAATGTATGCTAAACTGATCTTCTGTATATAAAGAGAATCAAAAATGAATCTTGATGTGAATGGAAGGGGAGAGGGAGTGGATAAGGGGAAGGTTGCGGGTTGGAGGGACGTTATGGGGGGAAGCCATTGTAATCCATATTCTGTACTTTGGAAATTTATATTCAGTAAATAAAAGTTAAAAAAAATAAAGCATGTAAGTAAATAGAAAGCCAATGCTTTATAAAGTTATAGAATTTTTAACAAGTTAAGGAATTTTGAAGTGCCTCCTGTCCAAATGCCTCATTCTTAAAAATAGGGACATAGCAGCCTCGAGATTAAGTAATTTACTTTTACTTAGCCATGTTCATGGTCAATGGTAAAGCCTAGGTAAGGATTCAAGGGTGTTAGGGGCCAGCATTGTATAAGAGCAAGTTAAGTTGCTGTCTTTGATGCCAGCTTCCCATACGGGTTCCAGTTTGTGTCACGTCTGCTCCACTCTGATCCAGCTCCCTGATAATGTGCCAGGGAAGGTAGGGAAAGATGGCCCAAGTGCTTGGGTCCAGAAATGCATATGGGAGGTCTAGATGAAGCTCTTGGATCTTGGTTCAGCTTGGTCCAGCTCTGGCTGTTGTAGCCATTTGGATAGTGATCCAGAAGATGGAAGATTCTCTCTCTCCCTGTCTCTCTGTCTCTGTCCCTCCCTCCCTCCCTCCCTCCTTCCCTCCCTCTGTGTGTGTGTGTGTGTGTGTGTGTGAGAGAGAGAGAGAGAGACTCTTGTTCTCTGCCTTTCGAATCAATAATACATCTTAAAAGAATTCCAGAGTCTCAACTGAACCCAGTGCTCTGTGACACCATGAATCCTATAATCAGATGAAATCATCTTTTAGGGCGTACTAATTTATAGCTAGATTAAACTCTATAGCCAACTTTCCTAGATAATCAAGTATAGTTTTGGACTGGAAACTATTCCAAAAACACAAGGGTATACAGAATTAGTGTATTATCATTAGTCACAAGATTGAGTGATATATAATAAATAGTATGGTTCCAAGACATTACCTGATTCCTCTTATGTGGGGTATGTACATTAATGTCAAAATTTAAATTTAGGAATAAGCTTTGCTTAAAACAATATCTATAAAATATCAAAAGTAATGTCAAAAATTCTTTGCCAAAAACAAGAATGGGAGGATTAGTGAAACTCAATCTATATGTTGACTCAAAGATTCAATACTATTATGCAATTTTGGTATTTTGCTAAACAGAACGTCTCAGTTCACTCAGTTAATTGAGAGCGTATTCTAAATACAATATTGTGCTAGTCGTGGTGGAGACATTGTGGTCCACAAACTTCAGAGGCAGCAGAAATATGGGTACATATGGGACGATGTTGGAGATAGCTAGAGAAGTAGTAGTGGGGGTTTAAGTTGTGTGGATGCTTAGTGAGTTTAGCATGAGAACTTAGGCTGATTTGGGTCAAGATTCATTCCATATTTCTGAAGACCTCAATGGAAGTCTTTTATGCTCCTCTAACATTGTGACTTTATTGGCCTCCTCTCAGTGTCCACAGGTCTTTTTTTTAAAATAAAATATGGGAGGGCTGTGTGTATGTGAAGCAATTCTCTTTTCACTGTGGGGCAAGAGAAAACTGTTTTGAAAAGTCTGCCCCTCAACCATGTTATTTTTCAAGGGGCCCAATGGCAAATATTGTTCACACTCCCATGAGAACATTCAGAGCATCAGTAGTTCTCTTCCTAAGTTTGCCAAATCTTTACTCACAACCCTAAATTTGTGTCTTTTCGTTTGGTCTCTGAGAATCAGGCATCCTTCTCTTGTTTAATGTCAGTACATCCCTCCCAGAATGTTCTGCACTTTGTCCCTTCAGAAACAACTGTTTTTCTTGTGTAACTAATCATTCTTTCTTTGCTGTGTGCTTCTAGTTAGTGTATCCCTGTCACACACACACACACACACACACACACACACAGAGCAAATTATAAATACCAGTATCTCTCCCACAAACTTCTTCACAGACTTTTTTTTTGATGCAGAGCCATAAAATGCTGGAGTGGGTGAAGAAGCCGATGTCTGATTCAGTGATCAAATTCAAGACCATCTTAGAGTTTGTCATTGATTAACAAATTTGTACAGGGAAACAGGGTGAAACCTCATTGCTAAGGTTGATCCTAATCAAAATGCATGGAATCTAGTTTCAAAATAGGATTAATTTTCCAAAGACTGGGAAAACAGATCAAAGGCTGCATGTCTCAAATCGCAAAGCTGTCCATTCCTCAGTAAGATTTTCAGATGCACATCTTCCCGTCCTCACCTCTAAGTGCTTGCTTCAGTTCACTGTAACATGGTTTCCACCCCAACCACTCACTTGGGACCATGCTGATCTTGATCTCCCATGTCACGATTGCTAAATTCAGTAGTTACTTCCAATTTCTAATCTTGATAGAACAAGCTATTAACAAGGCTACTTATGCTTTCTGTACATAATATGTTTTATGTGCCTCCAATGAAAGATATGTGCTAAATCTCACTCTTGCCTCTCTAACTCTAGTAAACCTCTTTCTTCTCCTTAACTTTCAATGTCAATTACACTCATATGGAAACTTGATGTTAATTGTATAGACATCTAATAATTTTGTCAGAAGAGTGAAACATGTTTCATTCTGCTTTAGGTTTTGTTATCTGAAGGCTGGGTGATATAGTATAATCAAGTTTGTGCTTGCTATTCTGCCATTAGAATAGTTATCTTAAGGTCTAGTCTGTTTAGTTAAAGACAGCTTCAATTCTCCTATAAACAAGAGTGAAGATAGCAAAAGTAAGGAATGTTTGTTTCTACCATCTGTGATACATCGTTGAAGAGATGAGAGGTTTTTGAAGCTCGGTGTGAGGTTTGGAAAAGCTAGACATTGCTCGTTTGAAATATCTGGAAATACTCTACTTGGCCCTGTGGAGCTTTTATTGTATTGACCTCAACAGCTGCCCCTATCCATGCCTGGATATTTTGGCCATTAACTGTGAAAGAGGAAAAATTTGAGAAAACTTAGAAAGGTCTTATAGTGTTGGTGTTTTATAAGGATTTATTTATAAACCTCTTTCTGAGTGAGACTTATCTCAAGACATTGCCTTAATCCCATGGTGCATGGTATATTTTGTACTAATTAAATTGCTTACAATTTCTGCTTGACCATAATCTATATTCTTTTACATTGTCCCGAGGCTCCAATTAGACCATGACTATTGGAGAAATTTGTTCTGGTAGAGAAAATAACTGAGATTTCTCCATGGTACTAACATTAGACATTTTCTTTTTTCACCTTGTAATCCTCTGGACCTATCACAACCATCTCAGAGTTTTAAATACAACCTATAAGTGGATTATTCCAAAATCTCTCTCTACTTAGAGCTCTCTGTGTTCATATTCATTCACTGCTTCCTGTGTATCTCTACCTGGAGACTTCAAAGGTAACCCAAACTGAATTTGTCAACTTCTATCTTAGTAGACTGGAAATCCTTGGCATTCCCACATTTATTTGCCTTCAGGCTCAGCCCTCTGATTATTTCTCCAGCCACATTGCATAGCTCTTTCTAACTCTGTGGTTAAGCAAAACACCAACTTTATATAGTTCCTCCACTTGATCTTTTACTTCTTTCCTTTACTTATACACTTCCCTGTGTATGCAGTACAAACCCCTTGCTATACCCTCACTCTAACCCTTTAAATAGTATTTGAGGTTTCCACATCCATGGATACAACCAGCTGCAGATCAAAAATATTTGAAAAAAAATTTCATCTGCACAAACATTTACAGAGGGACTGGCATTGTGACACACTGGATTAAGCCACCATCTACTATGCTTGCATTCCGTATCAGAGCACTCATATGAGTCTTGGCTAATCTACTTCCTATCCAGCTCCTTGCTAATTCACCTGAGAAGGCAGTGAAAGATAGACAAGTGCTTGAGAGACCAGAATGTGGAAGACCAGAATGGGGTTCCTAGATCCTGGTTTTGGCCTGGCCCAGCTCTGGGCATCACAGCAATTTGGCGGAGTGGAAGATCTCTTTCTCTCTTCCTCTCTGTCACTCTGCATTTTAAATAAATAAAATAAACTTTTATAGGCCTTTGTTTTCATTCCCTCTTAAATGATGTGGTATAAAACCATGTGCATAGAATTTACATTGCATTAGGTAAGATAAGTAATCCAGAGGTGATTTAAAGTAATTGGGAGGATGTGCATGGGCTACACACAAATCCCACTGTTTTATATAAAGGATAGAGTGGCCTCAGATTCTGGTATGTGCATGGAGGTTCTGGAAGCAGTCCTATTCAAGTACCAGAAATGATATATACATGTGTTCAAGTGGAAATTGTAGGCAACTTAATTCACATAAAGTGTGAGTACCTGTTTCAGGAAGCTTCTCCCTGTCTGACTTCCTTTGCTGGTAGAGTATGTTTAAAAAGAACTGTCCTCAGTGCCTGCACATATTATTTGTCCTCCCAGTATTTGTGTGGAGATAGTTAATACAATGTTATTTATATTAAAAAGCATGTGGAAGGAACCTAAATGTGAGATGTTAGAGATTGAGTAAATTACAGATGACAATAAGAACTCCTTGGCAGCAAGTGGGCACTCTCACCCCCACCCCTTTTTGTTTAGAGAAAGTGTTCACTGTCTATGCTTGTGAAAATGGCAGGTAAAGAATGAAACACCTTGCCCTATGATAAAAAGAAGTTTTTTCATCCTACCGTTTGGAGACAGTCTTTCTGTCCTTTTCTCTCTGTATGAGTGAATACATCCCAAAAATAGTGTAAGTGGGTCTAACTCAGTATGGTGCTTTGTGTCATGGGAGGCTAATCAGTCCACACTGGAGACAGTCAGACTTATTTTTCAGTTCTCTGTTGGACATGCCAGTGGAATGATTTAAAAGAAAATGTCATTTGGTCGTCAGAGGCAGAATCAACAAAAACAGTTGGAACATATGATCTCTCTGTATGTTCCTATCCTATGAAATCCCAGGATTATTACCCTGTCTTGAATAAGTGTTAAGAGCTGTGAGAAGATCATATCTTTTGAGTCAGTCATTTCACTAAGGAACCTATTTTAAGAAGATGGTCAGGATTACTGGCAGATTTGTGTGGAGATAGTTAATATAATGTTATTTATATTAAAAAGCAAGTGGAAGGAACCTGAATGCAAGATGTTAGAGATTAAGTAAATTATGGATTTTTATATGATGGAATATTATGTAGCCACTAAAATTATATTAAAAATTATATTTACAAGGGGTTTAATGATTTTAGGAAATGTATAGGAAAAATGACTAGGCTGAGTGAAAATAAGAACTGGTTGCCAAAATAAGAACTGGCTATGATAATTATGTAAAAATGCTGAGAGATGCTGGATGGAAACACAAAGGTTGATGGTTATTATTGCTGTGTATTAAGATTATGGACAATTACAAATGCTTTATTTTCATTTTCCAAATATTCTGTGATAAGCATATGTAATATTTATAATAAGCCCCAAACATTTTATGATGAGAGGGGAATTTATTTTTCCTAGAAATGGAGGTAATCTAAGGATTGGATAATTACTTGATCCCTAGCTAACCATATATTTTGTAGTAACATAAAATGTTAAAAGGCAGTTATATTGGGAGGTTAAGATATTATCAGCATCCTAAAATAAGGACAGAATTTGGAATTTTCCATAATTAGCCAATAGTCATTTTTACAATTGCTATTTTATTTTTTTAGCTTCTACATCTGTTCCTGAATCAGCTTTAAGGTGGTCCAACCCCGAAACATGGCAAGACATAGAAGAGGGCTGGGGAGGACACAATCACAGCGTTCCAGGCCCTGGAGATGATGTCCTGATTTTACCCAGTGAGTGAAATGAACCATGAGATTGAACCAGGTCCAAGCTGACTGAGGATTATATTTCATTCATGCTGTACAACACAATAACAAATATGGAAGTACATAGACAACTATATAGGCAACCTTCTCTTTTTAGCTTGATGAAGGAGAATTTCATAGTCTAGTGAAATCCAGAAAAAATACCCTAGGCTACCTTCATTAAAAATGAAATAAGTAATCATCAAACTATAAAAGGAATTGGAATAATCTACTGACTTGATTATTTTCTTCATGTGTCGGCATATTTACAGCTTTCAGCATCCTTAAGATTGCAAGAAACAGGATATGGAAGAGAACCATGTGCCAAAGCCTCCTTACTTTTTGCATTTCTGAATTTTGACATTTAGAACAGAGTAAAAATGGCAAGCTACAAGTTTTGAAAATTCTTGAGAAGAAATAGGTTACTAAAATATAAAATCTGTCTATCCACTGAAAATTATTCCCCAGTGTTAGGAAAAGAGGTGCAGAATAGAGACGAGGCAGTATACAAATCTCTAGCCAGACAGAATTTATTCAGAGAAAATAAATTTGTAGAGGTGGGTGCCTGACTGCTGGCATGCACTTTGATGGAACATGTGGTGGAAGGCCTGGACCCTCAGGGGCCTTTTAGGAGTGCTAGGGATGGGGGTGGGGTAGAAATAACAGGTGGAGGTAAATTCCTAGAACTGAGGGGGGTGGTTTGGGAACCTGAAAAAGAATGTAGAATGGGGTGTGAAGGCAATAGCATGTGAGACCCAACTGAGATTCAAGGGCAAGGAATACATTGCAGTGTTTATCTATCTTTTGGGCACTGAGGGAGAATGGCTGAGGTTTGTATCTCTGTCCCATCACCCAGTACATGACACATATGAAAGAAAGATGATTCCTCATATATACAGAAACATGCACTCATAAAATTATTCTTCCTTAAAATACATTTCTTCAAAGCCCCAGAAAGTCTTTCTAGCCTGAGAAGAAGATGTTTTTCATAAAACAATTATATTTCTCTAAAAGTCCTAATTCTCTTTATGTTTTAGTTTGAACCTCTTAATGTAATAGTGAATAAAAGGTTTGCATTGAAAGAAGAATGTTAGGCCATTTGCAAAATGACAATAATGGTACTGTTAGTTAAGTTGACTGTTAGTTAGCTGTTAGTACAATAATGTACTCACTAACAAGAACTGTTCTGCATTTGCCACTTTAATCCTTACAAGAACTTTGAAAAGTTAGTAATATGATTATTATTCCCATTTTTACAGACAGTAAAACAGAGTCACAAAGCACTTCAGTAACTTGTTCAGGGTCACACAGATTGCAATTCAGCAGAGTCAAGATTTGGACACATGCAATGTGACTCAAAAGCTCTATTCTTAAGCAATAAAGTACACTCCTTTTCTAAAAAAAACTAAAGTGAAATGAGAAAGAGTCATTGTGTTGTTGGGTTTATTTAAGATGGCGGAATGAAGACAGAATAGGACAAAGCATGCTGGCCACCTTCTGGACATTGTGCGTATGTCTGAGTAACTGAACAGAGAGAGGAGGGACAGGAGGGCGTGGGTTGACCAACACGGAAGTGAATTATTGTCATCCCTCCACCCCATCACTCATCTCTCTTCAATGGAGGATATAACTTGAATAAACAAGGACTTGAGTCATTTCTATATAGAAAGGAAAAATCTGTTCTGTCTCAGCCATCTCTTTGATGAATCTACCCAGCGGATTTGCCCTGGGCTATGGTTTCTTCCCACTAAGCAAGCTGTTTCCCCAACCCCAGGCAGGAAGAAAGTAAAGCTTTTGAAGGTTGCCAAGCTTTTAGTATCCTTTAAAGCTTGTCTACCAATCTGAGCCATCTTGCTTGGCGTTGCAATTGACTGTATCCACTGTGTGCCCCAGCTACAGTGCCTCTGGCATTCTCCATTATTTTTCTTTCTTTCTTTGTGGTCAGCTCATAGATAGGTCTGAATTCTCCAAGAAGCTGCTCTTAAATAGCACAAGTTTGTACTTTGGAAACAGAGGGGACGTATGCATTGGAAGTATAAGGTACCTTCCAACTGGCCTTTCATTGTTACTGTGTCAGAGAAGTTTTTTTATTTAAAGATTCATTATGTATCTGAAAGGCAGAGTTACAGAGAGAGAGAGAGAGATCTTCCATCTGCTGGTTTATTCCTCAAATGGCTGCAATGGTAGGAGCTAGGCCAGGGGGAAGCCAGGAGCCATGTCTCCCACGTGGGTGGCAGGGCCCAAGCACTTGGGCCATCTTCAGTTGCTTTCCCAGGCGCATTAGCAGGGAGCTGGATCGGAAGTGGAGCAGCTGGGACTCAAACCGGCACCCATATGGGATGCTGTCATTGCTGGTAGTGACTTTACTTGAGAGGTTAATATTTTAAAAACATGCATAGTTATTGTCCATTATTTTTAGCTTTCAAGTGAAAAGGTGGCTATGAGAAAGCAGACATGTAAGATGAATTAAATGGGGGCCGGCGCTGTGGCATAGTGGATAAAGCCGCCGCCTGCAATGCACGCATTCCATATGGGTTTCAGTTCCAGTCCCGGCTGCTCCACTTCTGATCGAGCTCTCTGCTATGGCCTAGGAAAGCAGTAGAAGATGGCCCAAGTTCTTGGGTCCCTGCACCCACGTAGGAGACCCAGAGGAAACTTCTGGCTCCTGGCTTCGGATTGGCACAGCTCTGGCCATCTGAGTGAACCAGCGGATGGAAGACCTCTCTTTCTATCTCTCTGACTCTTTCTCTCTCTGTGTAACTCTGGCTTTCAAATAAATAAATAAATCTTTAAAAAAACAATATTTGAACTATTAAAAAAATGATGCATTAAATGAAATCTTGCTCTTTGTCCACTGCTTTCTCCTTTCTCTCCTAACCTCTCTTCTGACTTCTTCAAGATACCTGTGATTGGCCAGCATTTGAATCCATTTTTCTCTTTAGTTTTGGATCTCATGAAGGAGCTGCCCTGGCTTACTTTTCCCTTCTGATATCGAGACAACCTATCCTACTACTTTGACCTGGATTGGACTTTCTGCAGACTCTACTTCCCTTTCTGCTTGGGGTTTTGCCTCTCTCTGAACTCTTCATCTTGTCCTGACTCTCCTTCTTTCTTTCATTGTCAGCCTTCTTATAATCAAGTGAGATTGCTCACCTGAGTCTGGCACAGTAAGTGTTGCGTGGGTAAAGTACGTGAACACAATGCTGCCATCAATAATTTAATAGCACAAATAAATATTTGAAACTCTCATGTTTAACACAGTACAGCTATAAGACTTTACATGTCTATGAAAATAATGTCTTATACCTTGAACAGATTCCTAAGAATATGGAATAATTATTTTCATGATGGTAGTGATGGTGACAGTAGTAACTATAATTTGAGTTCTTGGTGTGTGCCATGGTTGTGCTAAGTACTTTGCATGGATTTTCTCATTTAATTCTTTTTTAAAAAGATTTATTTATTTATTTGAAAGGCAGAGTTACAGAGAGGCAGAGGCAGAGGCAGACGGAGATGCAGAGATAGAGAGAGAGCTATCTTCCATCCACTGGTTCATTCCCCAAGTGGCTGCAACAACTGGAGCTGAGCTAATCTGAAGCTAGGATACAGGAGTTTCTTCTGGGTCTCCCTTGCGGGTGCAGGGACCCAAGAACTTGGGCCATCTTCTACTGCTTTCCCAGTCCATAGCAGAAACTGGGTCAGAAGTGCAACAGCCAGGACTCGAACCAGTGCCCATATGGATGCTGGCACTGCAGATGGTGTCTTTATTCTCTATGCCATCATGCCGGCCCCTCATTTAATTCTTACAACTACTCTGCAAGTGGGTCCTGTTATTATCCTTGTTTATACAGATGAAGAATATGGGACATACAGAAATCTTGTCTCATGTAACTTTCAAGTTTTACCTAGCTTATAAGTTAAAAAGCTGGGTCAGGAAATCTGAGAGTTTGATTCAGAACCATATATTTATTATGTCTTTAAAAAATGAAAACCAGCTTCCCATCTCTGTCTGCTCTGATTCATTCAAATCAGGCTGCATTTTACACTAAATTTATAATTCTCAGTTTACTGTTCACATTATTAGGGTAAAAAGAAATTAGGGTAAAAAGAAATTAGGGTAAAAACAAATCCTGCAACTAGTAGTATTGCATATCTACTATATGTCAAATAACTCAAGGAATTTAATCATATAAAATACACTTGGAAAACTAAAGTAAATTTCCAAAGAGTTATCTAATAAAATGAAGCATTGCTAAAAGCATTTTCCTTGAACCTGGTAGCAAATGTGGTTGTGATTACAATTAATACTCCTTTCTCATTAAGTTTAATATTTTTAAACATTCACTGTATTCAAGGCACAGTTTCATTTGCTCATGATCTGGGCTCTAAGGGAAAGGATGATATGGCAATGACTTTAAATAGCTAGGGATTCTATTTGGTAATCACACATGTACCACATAAAAATATAACAAATAACTATAATAAACATAATGTATTTAGCATCAAATTGTATCAAGTGAATAGAGGAGAGAAAACTTCATGGAGGAAGAGACATTCTGTAGGGAACTTTGGGAGATAGGGTTGTGAGGCACAAAGCTACATTGGGACCCTTCTCTGGATATATGGGCTGTCAGCTAGGGTAAACCTGGGCTCACACTGGGATTCTGATGTTTACCAACTGTGTGACATGGGCCAAGTTGTAAGTCTTTTGGCCCTTATGTATACCATGAAGGCTATAATTAACATATCATAATGTGAAGCAGATTAAATGAGATACCATCAGAGCACATGACTACTGCATAGCATCCTGATGGTAATGGAATTACAGATAAAAGCTGTGATCTGTAATGTATCAGGTGTTCTTTTCCTTCATTTTTCCATCTGGCTGCCCCTCTTGGCCTCTGGTATTAGCAACACTTTGTATTTTCTTTCCAATGGCTTATTATTTAATTTTCACAACATCCTTGGGAGCTAAATAGGTAATAACT